CTTGAACATGACGCTGCTTTTTTCGAAGTTTCTCACGAACCATTCGAGCCACAGAATTCGTTTTGTTCCATCCCAACTTCCAATCTGGCGCAAGAAGCAAGTTTAAACTTCCACCATCTATAGCAGAGACTGGAGCCTCGCATCACTGAAAATTTCATTAAAATCCCCAGAAACCCTGAATTTGGCCAAATTGGAAAACATTCATCTAAAAAACGAGCGTTTTCGCGCAAATGCACCTGCTTCTTGAAAATGTTTTTACATCGCTGAGAGGGACCCTGAATGAAACACTAAAATTTCGTAATGCCACACAGTTTAATTAAAGCACACGCGTGAAACGCTGCCTAATCCCTCCTTGGAAAAACCTCCGGCATCAGAAATCGAATCGCGCTCTATTCATAAGCCAGCACCTGCTTATGATAGAATAAAATGTAGCCCTCAGAAGCCAGAACGTCCTTCAATGTGACCGGTGTGATAATGTCGTCGTTGCACTTATACCAGTAGGTGTAGTGGTGACGAACAAAGGCCACATAATGGCCCTGAATGGCCGAAACGCCCGAATGATTGATCACCGCAAAGAGCGAATATCGGTTATCACTGGGAACGGGCAGCTCGTCTTTCCGCTTGCTCATGAACGGCGTCATGTCGATCATCTCCGGAAACGATATGGCGGTGGAAATCTTCACACCAGCACTCGAATTGAAACGTTTCAGCTGGAAAGTGACCACCACCGGCAGTGTCTTGATCGTCAACTGTTTGGTGCTGTCCTGCTTTGAGCCGCAGATCTCGCACATGATCTGCTCCTTGCCGCCCAAATGCTCCGCCTTGGTGAAACTCTCCAAACAGTCCAAGAGGGAGCAGGGAGATCGGCCCCCCTCCGTCACCGAGCCCAGATCGAGGGCAAAGTCCCACGTGGGATCCGTCGTCGACGAGATTCCATTGCAACTTTGACAAATCACGTCGCTCTGCAGTCCACCGGTGAAGATCTGATGGATTATGCACAGACAATTGCCGGTGTTGTTGTGATGCACTGTCTTGTTCTGGTTCAGGGTGTTCTCTGAGTAGTGCTTGTGCAGCAGATTCAACGTGGCCATGAAAAACTCATGGGCATCATGCTGCTTGTGGCCGCATAAGTGGGTGGCTTGCGTCCAAGTCAAGTGCAACAAATCTGGCAGGGCCAGAGGCGTCTTTTCCCCGTTGTAGAACTGCTGGAACAGTTCGGATATCTGGCACACCAAGCAGGCCATTTGCGCTGACTTGCAATAGTGGTGCTTCGTGAGGAAGTAGTCCCTTAGCAGCGGCGTGTGCATGATCGCTTGCACCACACAGTTCATAAAACAGGTGTTTCCCAGATTGATCAGGCCCCGCAGGCCGATAGTGGTTTCCGGCGTGACACACACCTTCTTCGTCTGATTGGTCAGCAGTTGGCGCTCCTCCTCACTGGGGTCCCAGGAAATGCACTCGAACAGTCGCTTGTGGAACTTCTTGGCCTGCATCCGATTCTTCAACGCAATCTCGTCCAGATCCGTGTCATAAATGTAGTCGCCACAGCTAGCGCAGTGCACTTGTCCATAATACAGTTCGATCGAAAAACGGTGTCCAGCATCGGCATTGTGGTCCCGAATATGCCGGTGGCAGCCGAAGAACACGCATTCCAAGCAGGCATGCAAGTGGGGCCCCCGATTGCGGCATGTGTGGCAAAACGAGTTGCAAAACTTCATTTGTCTCAGGTGGCTCACGGAGCCCACCACAAACACCAGGTATATCCATTTCAGCGTGTCCAGGTTATCGCCAGTCGTTTTAAATCGGTGGAAATGTTCACAGCCACTAGCCGGCATCATAGATAAAGACGAGTATTGTTCGTTCAACCTGCTTCAACGGCAAATCAAGCTCGCTGCTTATCGAGCCAGTAAATCAATAATAAACACCAATAGTGTAAACACTATTACAGTGTTTGCTAGTGTTTATTGTTTTTGTTTGAGCATTTTTGCTTGAACTGGTTTGACAGTGTTGTGACAGTGATTACAAAAATGAACGGACACGCGATGTTTTAAAGCAGCGTTGCCGATGCGCGCATTCAGTCGATACCGATACGAAATCCAAAAAACTGTTAACGTTAAATAATGAAAAAAAAAAGCGTTAACTCACCCTCTAGCATGCCAACTGCGGAAATCCACCAAAAAACCCAATCTTCAAAAAACCGCTACCGTAATGCGCCGGATCGGTTCGGATTCTTCATCGCAATTGCCTAATCCACCCCTGCCCAGTGGTACCTAACCTAAATGCCAAAAATCAGGTTAGGTTAGTCTGTGATGCGTATCCCAGTAAAATAAAAGCAGTGCACTTGTTGAAACCGTTAGAATGGCCGAAGCGGCAGCCCCAGAGGCTAAACAGGAGGCGACAAAGACCCCAATTTGCCTGCTAGTGGTCGGTATGGCGGGGAGCGGTAAAACGTCGCTGGTATCGCGGATGGCCGAGGGTTTTCACGGCGCCAAGCCCTATGCGGTGAACTTGGACCCTGCCTGCATCAACCTGCCCTATTTCGCCAATATCGACATTCGGGACACTGTCAACTACAAGGAGGTGATGAAACAGTACAAGCTGGGCCCCAATGGGGCCATCGTCACCAGTCTGAACCTGTTCTCCACCAAATTTCCCGAAGTGATGGGCTTCATCGAAAAGGGCAACACGACCCACTGCGTTATTGATACGCCCGGCCAGATCGAGGTGTTTGCCTGGAGTGTGTCAGGTAAACATTTGGATTTTCAACCGGAGCAAACCAAGCAAATGCAGTGATGATTTTCAGGCTCAATAATCACCGAAACCTTGGCCTCGGCGTTTCCCACAGTGATGCTCTATGTGGTGGACTGTGTGCGGAGCACCGCCCCAGCGACCTTCATGTCCAACATGCTCTATGCCTGCTCTATTTTGTACAAAACGCGTTTGCCCTTTATCATTTGCATGAACAAGGTGGATATTGTGGATGCCTCATACGCCAAGGACTGGATGACCGACTTTGAGAGCTTCCAAGAAGCTTTGGGTAACTTTTATTTTATTCACAATCACTACTTTTAATTAAACTGAAAAAAAACTCCCATCATAGAAGCGGATGAGAGTTATGTGAGCAGCCTGACCAGGTCGATGGCTCTCGCTTTGGACACATTCTACCAAGACATTCGAGTGTGTGGCGTCAGCGCTGCCACTGGCGAAGGCATGGAAGAGTTGCACAAAATGATAGAGGAGTGTAGAATCGAATACGAAACGTATGTTCGGGCAGTAGTTGAAAGCGACCCGCTCAATTCGTTTTGGATTTTAGCGACTATCGGGCAGAAATGCAGCGAATCAAAGAGGAAAGCGAGAGGAAAAAACAGGAGACTGAAAATGATTCGACTGACGTGAATTCCCTGATCGATGTGGTCCCGGCTGGCATGGAGCTGGCCGACGTTTATTTGAGGAATCCGGCTGGGGATAGTTCGGAGGACAGTGAGGGCGAAGAGGAGCCGTTTGCAGGTGAGCGCCCGCCCTCATTGAGGTGAAACCGGCAATAACGCGCTTTTTTAGATACAGTCGACGTTGACGAAGAGAACACGTTCAAAAAAGTGGTGCGGCAACAGAAGGAGATGCAACTGAAGCGAATGCAGGAAGCACAAGAGAGGCAAAAGGCACACGACGCCAAAAAATAACCCGTTAGTAATATAAGTTTGGTATTATCCGGCGTTTTTCATGCCAAACTCACCCATTAACTTCCGCTCCAATCCATCATTCTCAGCTGATGGCTACCCGCAACATACAAATTAATTGACCTTGCTGTAACATTAAAACCTACTTAGGAGGTCCGAAGTACTTCGATTCCTGCTGTTTATTAGCACAACCTTTGTGCACATTAAATCAGCAAAACACATCAATTAGCGCCGGTAATTGCATTAATAAAGCACGCTTATTACGTATCGCGTCCAGTTGAGTGGCATGGAGACCTGCATGGATGCGGACCGGCTCTACCAGCAGGACCCCAAGCTGAAGAAAAGCGACGTGGAAATGCTGGCGATGTGGAGCAAACAACAGCGGCATTTTCCGAGAGTTGAAGGTGAATGTACGCGATAGCTTTGCATGTTTTCCATGGGCGAACCCTTCCGTAGAGGTCCAGATCGCGTTGGCTCTCCACGCGTGCTTCTACAGCGTGGAGCAGGCAAAGAGCTGCTTGGACAACTACCTGACGATCCGAGGAATGTGTCCGCAGCTTTTCGCAAATGGAAACCCCGATAAAGACCCCGCGTTGAAGATGGCAATGAGCGTCAAGTGAGTAGGCCAAAGACGGTTCTTTCAGACTGCACACATTTTTTAGCGGCTTTGCGATCCTGCCGGACAAGACGAAGGAAGGCTACACGGTCCTCCTGACCAGACTGATTGACCCCAATCCGGACCGATACAACCCCCAAGTGGGGTCCAAAGTCTTCGACATGTTGGTGTTGCGACACATCCACTTGGTAGGGCCCGGGAATGGGCTGGTGGTGATCATCGACATGAAGGGCGGAGTGTTTGGACATCTGACTAAAATCAACCTTGGCGAGCTCAAGAAGTTTCTGATTTACCTGCAGGTGAGCCAACACGCGCGCCTCTCATGCGTCCCCAATTTTTACGGGAATTTCAGACTGCCATGCCCATAAGGCTGATGGCCGTCCATTTCATCAACGTGGTTCCGTTCATGGATAAAATCATGGCCGCAATCAGGCCCTTCATCAGCAAGGACATGTTCTTGAAGGTAGGGCTTAGCTGAGGCTCGATCTTATCCATTCCTAGCCCTTTGCCTCTTAGCTAATTATCCACGCAAACAACGACAACCTGTTTAAATATATACCGAAGGAAATGCTGCCGGAGGAATACGGGGGACGAGCGCAATCTGTAGATTTGCTGTTTGGTAAGTCAGGTCAAGCAGCGTTCGGTCAGACTAAAAGGGCCTAACTGGCGTTTCTCCCATAAGGTTGATTTCAAGGGCGGATGCCAAAATGAATTCTCTGGCTCGAATGGTTTTTGAGAAACTTCGAAAAAAGCAGCGTCATTTTCAAGTGGATTTTGCAACTCAAAGAAAACCACGCAAATCTAAAACTTCTTGAATTCAAGCGTTTTTTAAGAAAACTGCCAACATTTCCCCATCCATGGTTCACTTTCTGAAAAGGCCATTTATTTCTGTCTAGAATCATGTACAAATGAGCGTTCTTGCTCATTTTGCCTCCGAGAAATGAGCAAAAACCGGACGGAAAGCATGGAAGTTTGGCATAATCTTGCACCTAAGTGTCTGATATTCAAATGCCGCTTTCTGGGTCAAAACTACTCGAATTTCCTCACTCACGTTGTTACGACTGAATCGACTTTTCAATTCTCTATCCAACGATGCCAAAGCGAATTCTGTGGCTCGAATGGTTCTTGAGAAACTTCGAAAAAGCAGCGTCATGTTCAAGTGGATTTTGCAACTCAAAAAAAAAAACCACGCAAATCTAAAACTTCTTGAATTCAAGCATTTTTTGGGAATTGGTTCGGTGTGAAACACGCTTGGGGTCTTGCACAAATCCAAATCCCGTCATTAAAGCAAAATAGGGAAGGAACGCCAGTTACACGCCGAAGATGTAGAACAGCAGTTTGGTTTGGTCATCTGAAGAAAAAAGCTTTCGAGTCGATTACCAAGCTGTTTATTTCCTTCTTCAGGGTTTAACGCCTGTTTCTAATCGACTCAAAAGCTTTTTTCTTCAGAAGACCAAACCAAACTGCTGTTCCACATCTGCAACTACACAAATTTCCATTGCAGAAAAGTGCAAGCAGCTAATCTACGACTCTCTTACGTTTTTCGAGTTTCAAGACACCATGATAACGGACGAGAGCAAGCGAATCGGGCCTAGAAAAAATGCGGACAGTCTATTTGGGTTCGATGGAAGTTTCAGGAAATTGGCGGTGGACTAGTGGGAGCGAACGGCAACGGGAAATGGCTCGTTTAGAGCACTAGTGTTCATAACACTCAAGAGGGCGGCGAATCAATCAAATCCCATTAACTGTAAAGTTTATTTCTGAGAAAATAATAAATCTCTTACAAATATAGTTCTCTTACAGATGCGTAAACATGTTGTTTCATATATTCTTCTTTTTTGGTAACAAAAGGCACGATGACTCTTAAAACTTTCCCGTAAAGATATGTGAAATAAAACGCACTTTTCCCTCGAAAGCCATGTCATAAAACCCGCAACTTTCTTCCTTCTACGCCTTTAGAAATATCAAACAAATTTATAGGAAAACAGAGCGATTGCCTCAGCAAACCATTGCAGCCAAACAAGGCAAAACTGATCAAATTAATGGACATTGAAAGCTGTGGATGCTGAGGCGAACGATCGCATCGATTCAATTTCGGGACAAATCCCAAGAAATTTGTGTACCTTGGCTGAGCAATAAAGTATATTTTGAGGCAAAAGCCCCCATTTAAAAAGGCGCAGCATCATTCGATTAAAAAATAAAACTGTTTACTGATGCGAAGCACCAAGGCCTGGTAGTTACTAGTGTAAAATGCAAGCATCCAAAACCGAACTATAGATTGATTTCAATTAGCCAAACAGTAGCAGTACTGTTATACAAAAATAACCTGAATAAACCCGAAAAATAAAAACGTTCTGGGTTAATCGATACATAAAACCCATGGTATTAAAAATTAGCCTGGTCCAGGACTGTGCAACAATCGACTCATTGGAAATGTACAATAATAGAAAAATTAACACCGTTTCCGCGCCCAATGAGTCAATTGATGAAGAGCCTGCTGGTCAAAGAACCCCATTAACTACCTATATTCCGATTGCGGAATATAAATTATAGCTTTAAATAATAAACTAGGTTTAGGTACATTGAGACCGTAGTAAATCCTGTACACGCATTCTACTGGCATATTGTGAATGGAAATGGAGCTGCAGAGAGGCTCCGATCGGGAGCATCCGATGCACAACATGCCAAAGCAAACGGGCGCCACTTACCTGGATTTTCTCAGTTTTGAGGATTTGCTCTTTTCCAGCTGCCCCTGCTTGGCAACAGCACCTGCAATTAGTGCAAAAGAACATTACTGGGCAGTTGCAAGGGGGCACTCAATCACTCACCCTTCGCCCTAATATTCTCTTTGGCTTCGCTCTTGTTAACATGTATCCGCTTGGATGTGCGCAAAGTGGCCTGAAGCGGCCAGTTGAGGCTCTCGCGACTACACAGAACTCGCAGCGACTTCATCCGCTTCTCCAAAGGCTCCTTAACCGGACTCGTTGCGGATGGTTCACAAACAGGCGGCTTATCGCTGCTGGGCGTCTTTTGCGCCGCTGTTCTCAGCGATATCCTTTTGAGGTTGGACAGTTTGCCTATGGCCCCAATTTCATAGTTTAAATTTGGTGTCAATGTCATTTTCTTGTCAATGCAATCGAACGATTCGGCGCTAATTTTTTCGTTTTTGGTTCGGTTGCCGTTATTTTAAAGAGGAATTTTTCCCCGACTCGCACACATTTAAGTGATAAGGAAAATTCATTAATATTTATACCGCTGGTTAAGCAGTTAATAATGAAAACTGGACAATGACAGGAAATTCTTGACTGCGAGACGCATGTTGCCAACCGTCCACGAAAGTAGCAAATATCTGTCGGCGAGTTCCCGTTTTGTCAGTCGAACTGTTAGTTTTGACATAATGTGAAGAGATTGACCGGAACTGGTTCAAATGCGTATGACAAATGAAGTACAAACTGTAGATATGGCAAATGAGCGATTTTTCCAAATTGACACGTCACCGTTGACAGAGCGTAGGAACATTATGGCTATGGATCACTATTCCTTAGCAGTGAATAGTGATCGAAACCGATACTAAAACCGGCAATAATTGGGAATTTTCTAAGAGGTGAGCATATTTTAAACCGTTGATAATAAAAAATAGGGCCTTCACTCACCTGTCAGCACAGTTTTGCTCTTCACCGGCTTTTTCACTGAGCGCTTGGCCGCGCCGCCCTCTGAACTCTGCTGAGCGATTTGTGAGTCGTCTGGCTTGCCTTTGCGGCTCCTGCTCGCTTTCTGCGCTGCCCTACTTTCCTCGACCGACGTTTCTTTGGGCTTCTGCGCCAGCTTTCGCTTGCCGCTCTTGGCCACCACCATGTCGAAGATCAGCTTCAGTTTGCTCTTCTTCAACTCGGCCTTGGCTAGAGACTTTTTCTTCATCAGCGCCTTTTTGCGGTTTAAGACCTTCTGCGTGAGACTCAGATCCTTTTCGCGGCCGGCCCTCGTCCTGGCCTCCACTGCCTGCGGGGATGTCTTCGACTTCTCGGCCTCTTCGGCCAGCTTCTTCAGTTTCTCTTCGGCCAGTGTGCACGGGGCCGGTTTTTTGGCCTCGTCGAGGAACTTCTGAGTCAGCGTCAGCCTCAAACTCTTCCGCTGCTTGTGGAAGGAGTCGTGCATTAATTTGCGCTTGGCCGATTTGACGGGCTTTTCTTGGGCCAAAGCGGGGCGTTTTGCGCGTCGCGATCCAACGTTCGGCGGCTCAGCGGTGCTCGCGGGTTCATCCTGCTCGGCGCTGGATTCTTCAATATTGCTACTCGATATCTCGTTGATTTGAATGGATTCGTCCTGGGATTGCTGGGTGTTGTTCTCTTTGTCCACGTCTGCAGGACTGCAAGGGTCCCGCGGGTCGAAGCTGGTGCTCTCGCGCAGCAACTTCGGCCCACTGTTGCGCTCCTTTAGCGGTAAGCTGCTGCACTGATCAACCGGGGCGGAATGGCTACTGATTGCATCCGATTCTTGGCTTTTAGCTTCCGTACTCTCCAACTCCGGCAGTGGATTGGTGAGCAACGGCGCTGTTGCGTCGAGCTTAGCTGCAGCAGGTTCAGATGCGCTGATGTCAGTGCTGGTTTCCTTGGCGGTTTGTGCATTTTCTTGGGGAGCAGGCTCGAATTCGTACCTGGACATCAACCCAGTGAAACTCGCCTTATTCAACTGCTTTACAGTCGAGCTTACCTGGTCATTATTTTTAACCCATTCTCCGGCAGGTTTCGCTTGAGGGTCTGCAGCACTTGGGCCCGTGGCGGCCCCGGCGGGTCCAACATTAAAGTAACAGCCGACGTGTTGTCCGCCTTCATATGCGTCGTGTGCCACCTAAAACCAAACAGTTAACAATCTTTTCAGTTGTGGAAGATGGCACTTTGAGTGTCACCTTTCCAGGGCGCGCTCAACCAACAGTTTGCTGGGATTGAGCCACACTTTGCTGCTGATGTTGTTCAGAGCCTCGCACTCATTGTGCCGTTCGGCCTGTTGGACGATGTGAACGGCAGCTGAGGCGCTGAGCATGTTAAAAAGGCCGTCCGTGCCTGAAAGGTAAGTTTTAGCCATCGTATTAAGGTGCGTGTGTGTTTGTGGGTGACTTACCGAAGATCAGGCACCGATGGATGGAAGTATCGATTGGTAATACTGAGCAATCCGGCTCTGGCGATACCACAAACTCATTCAGCTGAGAATTGTACGACCATAAGTCGCCCAAGCTGCGCGCGACCGCAAGGAACGGTATCTCATCAATAGGGGTGCTGCGCCGCACTGGACCCAGGTGCCCTATTTTGGGCCGGTTCCAAACCACGCGCGGTACCCCTTAAATGAAATGCCACTTAAACACTCCTTGGACAAACCAACTGGATTTCCTACCTGATTTTGCCACCACTTTTCCTCCGCAACTCTGGATCCGCTTCATTTCGTCTGGGCTCTCAGGCTTGTGGTCTTTGGTTAAAGGTTTCGCTCGCCATTCGCTGCTCCCTGGCACTTGATATCCTAAAAAGTACAACAGCAGTACAGTTTTGGGTTGAGTCGCTCTCAAGAAGCAACATCTGCAACATAAGCTGGAAGAATTCACGAATTGCGAATTTTTCACTTTGCACAACTGCTTCCAAAAGGCAATTTGCATGAAGTAGTGCCTGCTGTCCAATACTCACCTAAAACCACTCCAGAGTCTCCAACATGCCCCGTGTAAATCTTGCCTCTTCGTATAAAGGCAACAGAGGCGGTGGTTCCAGCGGTACTGGGCAGACCCGAGCCCGTCTTGGGCCACTTGGCTGCAAGTGCCAAGAGGCGGTTTAAAACCTGGGCGTTAAAAGGAGAAATTCATTGGCTTACGCTGTTCCCGCCACATCGCATAGTGTGTAGCTATGAAGCCGTCCTTGATAGCTCTCAGTACCTCTTCATCATCATCACTCCAGAAGTTCTTGTGCTTGATGATGGTCTCCATGAGATGCTCTTTGGCATAACCAGCCGCCTCCACGCCCCCATGCCCATCGAAGATGCCAAAAAATGCATACTCCAAGTCCTTTTCGTCTTCAGTTTGCTGAAACGAAATCGAAGCCGTTTCATAACATTCAAAGCAGCAGGCTGCTCCACTCCCCAGTTTGGGACTGCAAAAAACTGAAAATACCTGGTAAGCCACCGAAAAGCAATCCTCCATATATTTACGGCCACCTTGACGACAGTTCCCCGTTACCCGAAGATTCACACCAATTGAAGCCGGCATTTTATGGATAGTTTCACATTGATGGCCTTCGCTAATCGCTTCAAATTGTGGAATTTCTTATCCCTTGGCCCCAATGAGCTTTATTTATTTTAAATTCCCAGTGTGTTTGGAATCTACTGTCATTGTACTGACGTGTGTCAAACGTGTTCTGTGGCTCGAATGCGCCATTTGTCAGCCTAGTCGGTAAAACAGTGAGCGGTTGAAAAACACCGGCGGGTATTTTAAAATTAGAGGAATAATTGAACCTTCAATAACCGGGGGTGCTTATGAGCAATTAAACGTTTCGAAATTGGTGGATGGTTGAAGGATCAATGTAGGACCGTTTAATAGCTCGCAAGTACCTAACACTTTATTTTCCAACTTCAACAGTTATTAAGGTGTAGTTAGAGAGCTGAGTGGCTATTTGGCGTCAGACAAAAAAATACAGATCTACAATGGCTACAAGTCAGGGCTTTTAAAGATCGAAGACTGAAGGGGTGTGCAACTCGGGCTTGTCGATTCCCAGTTCTTCAGGCGTGCTGATGCCCAGCTGAGTAAGGGTGGGCCTCAACTCCTGGATCACCCACGGGTAGATTTCAGCCTCCCGCTTGCCGCACTTGTCTTTGACTGCCTCCAGAATCCTCACGGCCAGCGCCAAATCGTTCGCTCGACGGCAGGCCTGCAAAGCGGCCGCCAGGATTTTGGGCTCGGGCACCAAATCGTGGCCCCACAAATCGGTGATGCCTCTGCGGATGTCCCAGCCATCGATATCCTGCTGGCTGAAGAACTTCTCGTACCTTTGGTCGAACTGTTCGTCGGTTTCAGTCGATTCCTTGCTCAGCAAACGGGAGCTGGTGGCCACATTCCTGGCGGCAGGCTTGACTAGGGCCTGGGCGCGAACAAGGGCAGTGCGGAACATTTTTTTTGTAGTTCAATCAATCAGTGGAATTCTAGACTTGTTATGTAAAGGGGGCAGATGTCAACGATGCTTAACCTCACATTTGATCACAGATCACAGAGGCTCTTCTCTTCTCTCTGATCTGTGCATTTGATCAGCTGGAGGCAGCGTTGCCAGCACTAATATGCCGAGCTGATAATCAATATTTAAACTATTATTATTTGTTAATTATTTCTGATTATTTTTTTCATGGGGTAAAGTGCTTGAAAAAAAAAGTGGAGCAGGTTTCAATTTGAAGTCACCTTCAGTTAATTGTAAAAAAGTTTCAAATTTGCGTTTGGATTCTGCGGTTTTTATTTTTGCAGGCCGGAGCCCGACACCTTTTTCTCAATAATCACTAAAACTAGAGAGTGCTTTTTGTGTGCATTAAGTAGAACGAAGTTTGTTCTATACGTGGAACAGGTTTCGGTTTTCCCGCATTATCAGGCAATTTTTGAGAATTTTTTGAAATTGCGTCTGGTGTTCTTGCAAATTTAGCATTTATCTGCCCCGTAATTTGAGAAGTGACAAAGTCAATTTTCTATGCTTTTTGTAGGCCAAAGTGTATTCTATAAGTTCGCTTTACACAACGTTTCGATTTGAAGTCACCGTCAGAGGCATTTTTCAAGTATTACTTAAAATCGCGCATTTATCGCATTAAATCGCATTTATTTCTTCGGTAAATTGGGAAGTAAGAATGTTCATTTTGAATGCAGTTTGTGGAAAAAAGGGTCTTCTATCAGTGAAGAACGTTTCGATCTGCAGCCGTCATCAGACGATTTTCAAGAATTTTTTAAAATCGCGTCTGGTTTTCGATTATTCTTCTGCAGTCCGGAGTTAGGCGTCTTATTTTGGGTGGGTGTCTGCTATAAGCAAAGTGTCTTCTATAAGCGAACAAAGTTTCGATATTCAGTCATCGTCAGGTAATTTTTGACAGTGTCGCAAAATTACGTTTGGTTTAGCCGGTTTTGTTTTTGCAGACTGGAGTTTGACATTTTTTTACCTAGGGGCCAATGCAGTGAGAGAGTCGCTTTCATATGGATTTTGTAGGGCAAGGTCGTATCTAGAAGACTGAGAAATGCTGATTTTTCAGTCTTCATCAGTCAATTTTCAAGATTTTTTTAAGTTGCGATCAAATTTTGGGGCTATTTATGCAGGCCGCAGTTTGGCATTTATTTTCTCAGAAACCAGTGCGGCTACAGATCTGCTTTTGAGGGAGTTTGATAGGGCAAAGGGCGTTCTAAATGTGGAAAAAGTTTCGATTCTGAGTCGTCATCGGGCAATTTTTGAGAATTTTTTGAGTCTGCCGCTGATTTTAGCCGATTATGCTCTACTTAAAAAATAGTCCTAATTTTACAACTGCCACTTTGCCAACATTTTATTCTTGCACATTTTTACGCGTTAGTTCTAAATAAACACTCAAAGAAAAATTTATTGCAAAAAAAATTATTGTTTTAGGAATATTTTGTGGAATTTACTACCGCAATGGTGACGGAGCCACGCAGTTGCCAATTGATGTTCCGCATAAAAACAAACCGTTAGGGCTTTGTTTAAGCGACCATCCAATGACTGGGGCTTTGACTGTGAGGTGGCGTATGTGCTGGGACCGAACATGTCACATTCAAAACCCCAGCGGTTGCTTTTGGTAGGTTAGAGCACAAGCTTAGGTTGGGTTGGGGTCGAATGTCACTGTTTGTTGTCAAATTGCTGGCACTTGTCTTTATCTATGCCTGGGATCCCCCTTTGTGCGGTATTTTCTCAATTAATTTCCTCAAACCTGTGCTTCAAACTAAGAGCAAACCGCCTATTAAGTTTAAGTGAAAAAGCGCCCTAGTGGAGATCTGAAGGGAAAGTTGCGCTTTGCGCAGGTGAATGAGCGGCTAAACGGTAGTCTCAAATATCGCGACAAGAAAACGCTAAAGAAAATCATCCGTGAACTAAATATATTTCTAATAATAAAATCTATAATTAGAGCCATACTCATATGCCGAATCTATTTTGCTAAAAATACCCGAAATTCAGCAGTTTTGCTCGCAATATCAGTTCGTGCCATATCGCGGCGCTGAAACTGCACTTTGCCGTTCAACTGCGCTGATTAATCTCAAATGTGTTATCAAGAATAAAAGAAAGCCCGTGATTGCCTTGTGACCAAGTGTTCAGTGCCAGACTATTCAAATCATTGTGGAATATCCAAGACAATGGATGCAAACGTGGAGAAGGAAATGTGCAATAATTGGTGAGTGCTTATGTCCGTTAAGTCTGCTATCGACTAACTGCGTCAATTTTAGCAAAAAAGAGATCCCGCAGCCCAACTATGTGATGCACACAATGCACTGTGCGCGGAACATCACGCTGTGCAAAGTGTGCAACGAGCCGATCCCCAAGCTGGAGTACGAAACTCACAGGGAAACGTGCAGGAATCGGGAGCCGAAGAAGCCGAGCCCTCCGCCGATTTCCCTGGAAAACAGCTCCTACTTCCAGCAGCGAAAGGCCAGCCCCTATTCCCCAACCTTAGTATTGTCTTAACTGTTCCCTCTGCAGGCTGTCGAGGACCGGAAGGCGGAAATTCGCAAGCAAAGCTACCTGAAAAGGCACGAGCATCTGATGGACAAGGGCTTTACCTTGAAGGAAACTGTTGTGAATGGCTATGGGAGTGGCAATAGCAGCAGCAGCAGCCGAATCTCCCCTAGCGTCAGTGCCAGCCCTAATGCGGAGAAAACTGGGGCCACAAAAAAGCCCCCCTTAATCCCCCGGCTGGACGATTCGCCAGTAGTGAAGCCCAACAAGCAAGGTGGGGGCTGGAAAACCACCCTAGAAGTCTCAGTTGACAGTGTTTCTGTTGCAGGTCTTTTGGCCTGCAGATACTGCGAGCTGGAGCTCCCCAAGCTGGAGCTGGAGGAGCACGAAAACTACTGCGGGAGTCGCACAGATAAATGTCTGGACTGCGGCGAGCTGGTCATGTTCAAGAACAAGCAGGCCCATTGGGAGTCCAATCATGCCCGCAGCAGGTCCAGGGACGGTGAGTTTTCCACACAACAAACAAGCCCTAAAACAAAGGTCTGGCGGCATTCCGCCTGATCAGTCACCTTGCGTTATATTTAGCCGTTCATGTTCAAGTACACACCTCGTGCCGAATGATCAGGACTCCGTCAACAGTCGCCCGGTGAAAGGGAAATAGCGCGAATATTCCCGCTGGACAAAGGATATTGGATTGTTTCGCTTGAAATGCGTCTGATTAGCTCGAACGCGTCCTGGCCTCGTGCCCCAACTATGGCCTTAGATAATGGGGATTAGGCCAAGTGGGGAAACCTTCACTATCTGGACCAGGTCATTCCCTTCGCCGCCAAAACTAAAAATATGAAAATGCGCCCAACCTGTGGATTGGCGCATGGTTTCAACTACTACGGTGTGAAAATTGCGATGGTGGTTGAACGCGTTCACATTTGCTTGATAATTTGCCAAATTTCAAACGTTCCCAGTTTCTAGATGGGAGTTGACTCTGAAAATCCTGGGAGTTGTTTTGGAATCGCCTCAAAATGTTGGTCTGAGAATGAGCCGATTTGTTCAAGTGCACTCACGACTTCCAATCTGAAGCAAGTAGCGACTTGAAACTTGCACAGTCTAGAACGGAATTGAACATCAAAGCCCTGAAAATTTTATTGAAATCGTCCCAAAGCGTGATTTTTTAAAACTTTGCAAACTTGCTCCAAAAATGAGCAGATTTCCACCAGTGCACTC